AAAGTATTTTATTCATCATGTTTTGATTTCTATTCTCACTTAAGATTTTCCCTTCTTCGTAGCAAATTAACTATTCCAAAATTCTTAGATTGGAAACAGAATTAACAGAAATGAGAACAAAATAAACTGATATTAATACAGTAAATGAATTGTGAATTGTTCAATAAGTGAAGTGAGAGTAAATTGTTAAATATTATAACTTATATATAGGCAACAAATACATTCGACGTGTTACAGAAAAAATAATTAATATTTTACCTTATTGTCAAACTGAACGGAGCAAGGTCGACCCAATTTATTTCCATATCTGGTAACGTATCTTTCTCTCCTTCGATATCCTTGACCACACGTAATGTTGCAAGCACTCCATTCGGACCATTTGGACAATTGACACGTTTCTGGACATTCGACCAAACAAACGTCGGACACTAAACCTGAAAACGAATAAAAATAAGCATTTTTGAGAAAAAAAAAATTATTTGAAAAGTAAATTTCTACTCAACTGTTGCTGACCCTTCTGTTCGCAAGATTCGATCTTATTCCCTCTGATGTATCGTTTTCCCACTCCACATTCTCCGACACTCACGTTTTCCTTTCTTTTAAATGACAAGCTGTCTTCATCTACAATACAATTCGACCAATGACCCTCGGGAGTTGCCAAGACCTCTGCCAAAGGAAACGGTTTTGTTTCTTCTAAACGTATCCAATCACACGACTTTCCTAAACATAAAAAATTCTTAAATGGATTTGCCTCTTCACTTCATATAAGGAAAGTAATGCAACTGACCCAATCTTTCCCTAGTCCTCTTCAGAACTGAAGGACAACCTTTGACGTCTTCGGCAGACCAGGAAGTCCATTCTGTCGCGATGCAAGAAGAGTTGCAAAATATAAAACAAGGATCACTCGACTTCGGAACAGATTCTTCATCTAACGCAACACAGTTCCGAATCGGGACTTCTATTCCGTTTTCCTTTACACACGAAATTTCTGAAAGATAAATTCGCAAACTTCGCTCAAGATTTAAACACACAGAAGTGAATTGTTTTTGGAAAACTTACTTCTCACACGAAAGCCTTTTCCGCAATGAAGATTTTCGGCTAAGATACAATTGCTCCAAGTCGACACGTTCCAGAAGAAAGAAGAAGACGAATAACTGTTTAAATTCGGCAAACATTCTTTACCCACGTTGCATTTTCTCGTTTCCTCCAACGTTGAAGGACAGGGACGTCCTCCGTGCGCAGAAGATTGCAATACGAATCTCTCTCGACGCTGCACTATTCAACATAGATAAGAACCAGTTGCATAAACACACACAAAAAAGAACACTTTCAGCGAAGAATATCTTGATTGAAATTATGAGAATTGTCAAAACCTGAAAGACAGTCGTCTGAACAAGCAGTCCACTCGGTGAAGTTAGTAACTGCGCAGTCCACAGGACAAGGATAGTCGCAGGATCGAAAAATCATCGGTTTGGGCTCGGGAGAACATCTGACAAATATCATTCGTTACATCATCTGATTTTTGCCACATTAGACGTTTTTGGATGCTTACCTGTCATCGGGAACAGTCTGATGCAAAGCAGTGACGCATTGCACGCTTCTAACTTGTACGGATTTACCACAAGTTCCGTTCTTGGGTTTTTGACACGACGACCAATTCGATTTAATCCAATGATAACCAGAGCAAATTTCGTAATCGCATGCCTCCGATTCTGTTAATGTGTCTTTGGCTGGACAAGGTTTTCCTCCTGAAAATGATTATGTTCTTAATTATTAATTCCAGATAAATTAGACAACTTAAAGAGATCTGGCTCTCGTAAAAATGTTAAGTACCAAAGATGATAACCGATACCAATTTAATACCGATATATCGGCGTATCGGAATGTTCCCGCTGTCTATCAGTTACTATTTACATATAATTAAGTACCCATAAAATTATATTAAAATTAAAATTATGTATATTAAAATTATTTTCAATTTAATTTATTTTTTCTAAAATTTTACATTAATAAAGAACGTTGTAACTAATGAAATTGTTTCTAGATTAAAACATATTTTAAATAAATCTATATTTATTTATTTTATATTTGTATAATTTGTTTTCCGTAGATCTTAATGAGTCATCAGGAAAGTGAAGAAGAATAAAGCTATAGGCCTATATATTTGTTTATAAAATTAATAAAAACTAAATAATTTTGATATTAATTAATCTAAAATTAAATGATTTAAACCATTTTATTGAATATTCATTTTAAGCAATATTTATTCGCTTATAAACGTCTTCATAGCAAACGATTCAATAAAAAATGAAAGTTTTGAAATACAGATTGTCCTTTAAAATGTCACACTTTATTTAAAAGCTGAAAAATCGCATAATTTTCTCTCCTTTTTATGTGTAATCGATTTTAAATAATGGATAAAGCCAGACCAATCTTCGAACGAAGTAAATTTACCTAAAGTGATACTGGAAGTTTGAAAACGCAGTTTAGGAGAGAGTTTCAAACAAGCGACTTTCCATTACTCGAATTAGAGATAAATTTGAAGTAGATGTAACTGTTCAGAATGTTCACAACAAACGTTCCGGAAAACCGCGTACAGTACATCGACGAACTCCCACAAAGCAAGAAAAGCTTATGGAAACGTATTCGCCAGAGTTTAAGAAAATCTTCGGCAAGCGGGTCGTGAGATAGGAATTTGAAAATCAAGTGTCCATCGTATTTTGAAGAGCTGGCATTGGAAGAAGATTCCATGCAACGAATGAAGATGATCCGAATCGGAGAATGCAATTTTGCGAGTGTTACTTGGCAAGTTTTATTTTGTTACTTTCGCGTTGTCAGCAGTGCCTGGACCAGAATGGTCATCAGTTTGAAAGCAGGTGTTGACAAAAAGAATTATTCATGTCTATAAATTATTTTAAGTTTCGAAAATAAACTGTATGCCAATAAACACTGAGTTTATAATCATGCAAACTTTGTATTTGTTATTGACTAACTTATTAATACGGGAGTTATGAATAATGACAAACAAAATCGGGCACTGTAATAAATGTCAAGTATTTTTATCATAATTTATCAGATTGGCCGGTCATTGTATATCACCTTGTTGGGAAAAGTGATAATATCTTGAGGTGTAATAAAATTTTAAACTCATTCGGCCAGTAGTTAATCTTGTGCAACATATATCTGTGAGCACTATGTTGGCCTTTCTTTATTGCTAGACTTATTACACCGTGTGTAATAAGTCTACGAAGACTAGACAAGAAAGGTATCAGTACTTGTGCGACATTTTAATTTTACTTTTGCCTCTTAAAATAGTACTTTCTTTTTTGTGTAGTGTGTGGCCTGAGTTAAAAATGGTGCATGGAAAGCCCAAGCACTCACAAAGTCAGGGTTCAGTAGAAAGATGTAATTAAGACGTAGAGAATGTGCTTAGTTCTTGGTTGGAGACCAACAATACTAACAAATAATCGAAGAATTATGTTTTGTAAAGCTGATGAAAAATTAAACGCATCATACTGGTATAAACTGAAGCCACTATGAGGCCATGTTTAGAGAAAAGTTAAAGGTTGGACTAATGAATTTTATAACTGACGTTGAACAAGATTAATAAGGGGAAGATTTAGAGACCCTTTTTAATTAAAACTAACGACGATGAAGAAAATCAAAGTAACGCAAACTCTGGAGGATCAAATATCCGTTCAAGATAACATTATAAAAGGTTATTTAATTATGTCACTTTCACATAGCAATATAACTGATGAAGTTCAAAGATCTACGTCGTCTTCATATGAAAAAAAAATCTAACCACGCTGATTTCCAAAAACCGGGATGTGATTAGTATTACAGAGTCTGTGAATATCGAAGAAAAAATCCAAATACTTGATTCAAAAATAAAAAAAACGCAAGTAGTGGGTCTAAAACAAGAAAAATGACTTTGTCTAATCATAAAAGACAAGCATAAAAAATAATTGATACATCGAATTCTAAATGACCAGCGGCTAACGTTGGTGACACGGTAAGGATTCGTATACCAGATGTAGCTCGAGCCCTCAGTGATGAAGAAAATATTTTAGGTGTCGTTGCTGCGATTGAAGATAAAAACCTTTACAAACCGGGTACCGAACATGGTATATTGAACCTATTATATTCAATAAACCAATTTACTGTTTGTAAATTGGTATATTTAATATAAACCAATTTACAAACAGTCTATAGTCGATGTAGCTGCAAAATTGGTTGCAAATCTAATAGATGCAAATGCTACAAAGAAAAAAATTATGTAATTCCAATGCCATCAATCTTAATTGCTCGAAGAAATAAACTAAAAAATATTTAATTTTTTAATATAATTTATTTCAAAAGTGACATTCCAAAAGTTTCCTTTAAGTTGCTTTTTTTTTTTATTGAAGTATAAATTTTTAACAATACATTTCGTTAACATTAGTTTAAATAATACAGTTAATAATATTTACTTTTAAAAAAATCGCATGTTGTTTTTAAAATACTTTGAAATAATTCTTAAATTAATGAAAAAAGTGGAGTTTATTTTTGAAAATCAAACTGCCAAAGGAAATGTAGGTGTATTCAAAACGTCTGGTCAACTTAATAAATTAATCAATATTTATTAGGCTACGCGGCCATTTTAATCATTATGAATAATGACTGGTCATTATAAGTAATGCTCTATTAATCACTTGGTTCTTAACATATACAGTCTGTGGGAGCAAAATAAGCAAAATTTTCTTCAGAAATCAATGGGAGAAAATGCACAAAAACTTTAAGATAAAGATGTTTATTTTATTACAATATACAATATTTTCTTAATGGTATAAAGAGAGTTCAATTGCATATAGGGAGAAATAGTAATGGAGTTAAATAAAATAGGTTCCAAAAATAATAAAAGCGAGAAGGAAATATACTGAGGTTATGTGCAAAAAATTACAAAAAATTCTTAGTATTTTTTGTGGAAAGAATAACCATTAATGACAAATACGAATTTCAGGATTTCACCTGAAATATTTATAATTCTTTTTTGAAAATGGCTGATTTATCGAATATTTCGACTATTCACCTGATCCGTGCTCCGCGATGACCCTTCTTCGTCTCGTCCTGACTTCTTCCTTTTCTTCCGAATTGCATTCGGAATTGCAGGACGACCATTCCGTCCATTCCGCTAAAACACAATCTCTAGGACAAGGAACGTAACATGGTGCCAACAGTTTTGGAGGTAACACGTGTATCTGACACAGAGACGAAGACACGTGCTTCTATAAAAATCGACTTTTATTACATACAAAATATTAATTTAAAATTAATTTTTAATATCTAAGTATTTACCCCTTTGGGATTGATGCAAATCGCTTCCCTTTTCATTACTCCTTGGCCACAGGGTTGTGTGACGTCGTGCAAGCGACACGAACTCCAATTTCCCGTCACCCATCTGACCACTTCCGGTTCCCGACAGGACTTCACTTCCACTAACCAAGGACACTCGTGAATGCCACTGGGCTTTCGTAGGATTTCTCTGGTCCTCTTCCGATAACCTAACCAACGAATGGCTCATTAATTGGATCGTCGACGCTAAACAGGACACCGAACACCTCACCTGTAGTTGATTTTAACGGTTCCCGAACATTTACAGGTAGACAGGTACTCCAAAGGGACCATTCGGAGACCGTNTAAATTACGATGCAATTGACCCAATTAGAGCGTGACGTTTTATAAAAATAAATAAATAAATAAAATGTTTTGTAATCTTATTTGGAGGAATGCCAAATAATAGAAATTATGAAAACGTTGGTCCTATTTCTCCATTTAAAAGATGTATCGAAACGATAGGAATATTTAAAAAATCTCTCATTTTATTCATGTTTCCATTTCCATAAAATAATCATTCTATTAATATTTAATTTCGGAGAAGTATTTAAATATTTTTATATGATTACATATAAACGTTATGGCTGACTTTAAAGCACATGATTACTTTTAGAATATAGTATCACATAAATCGTATAATAAGTAGGTCT